ATCATACCTATTGTATTCAAGGATCGAATTGCATCATTGACCCCCCCCCCCCCCCCCCCCCCCCACACACACACACCCCTATCCCTCCCAGAGTTGTATGGCTATTCATGTCTCTCATATTTTATAGATAGGAAGTGCCAAATAATTGGATGATGTTGAACTTTTTTCTCTATCTCGAAAGTTCAAGATGTTGAAATGGTTGCCATTCCAAAGTTGTTACATGGAACATTATCACGTATATCTCTTCTAACGTGTTATATTTAGTAAATGAAAACAATATTAAAAATTTATGACACATAAGTATACATTTCCGTTTCATACTTCCCTTAAACTAAAACATGAAGGAAAATAACGAAATGTGTTGATGAATCACATGCTTATATTACTTATTGTGAATTAGTATTAATGTTTAGAAAACACATTTTAAATGATTATAGTTCTACTTTTTGAATCTCGTTAAAATATATGATTAAAAAAAGATCACATACATAGTCAGGAGAAATATGAAGCGGAACTATTATTTTCTAGTTTTGGAGAAGTAGTAGCAGCCGATATACCTTGTGTATGTCCTTCAAACAGCACATATCATTGGTTAAAGCAAGAAATTAAGGACGCCGTGGAAGGGACCAGATATCATAATTGGCAAGGTTACTGGTTATGTCTACAATGGCAAGCTCCAAGTAGATATTTATAATACTAATCACGACTAGTTGATGCCACGGGGCCACAGACAAATTCCTGATTGGCTGCAGACCTGCATTAATGAATTCATAAAAGGTGAATTAAGATGTACTGGCAAAGCGAAGGAGCAAGACTAGTAGTCCCCAGTACTGTGTGTCGTGGTCCTAACAGGGGCGAGAAAATGGTCCAAAATTAAAACTGATGGGAATGGGTCAACCGAACTTGTAAAGGCATGTCGATACAGAAAGCCAATGAGACATATTCCTATATATGACACAAATGTCAGCATGTCTATGCAAATCCGCCCACTAAAGAATAGGGCAGTGGAGAGGGGAAAAAGTTTGACGTTTGACTCATCAATTTTATTTAAAATGTCGGTTTTAGCAGCGTCATCCAAATCTTCATCCTTCTACAATGACAGTAATATTATAGCAGGAATGAGGATTTATGTCGGACAAATGGTAATTTCCAGCAGGGAGTTGGTATACAGCCTTTTGACATGAGGTTATTAGAAAAGACGAGGGACACCAGTAGGCGGATGCAGATAAATGAGAAAAGGAAGAAGCAGTGAACAAACTAACAAAGGTAGAAGAGGTGGCTACACATAAGGAACCACAGAACAAGAAAGAGGTGGTCCTATTAACAAACCGGGAAGAACAGTCTGCAGCATAGAAGCCACAGGAAGAGGAGCATTTAAAAAAAACTTGAAAGGGAAAGAAAACCGGACCTGCAACGAGACGATAAAGTAGGCAGAGGACCTGGAGGTCGATCGAAAGAGACGTTTATTGTCCAGTGCCTTGTTGTCCTGAATAAACCAGAATGAAAAGGGAATATGATCTTGCTGACCCCACATCAGAGATGTTCAGCCCTGGATTAACAAAAGAGATCATGAGAGACAGGTCTTTCCAACATTTTAGGTGGTGATCCTTCTGGTTCAATCCTAGTAAGTTTACAAAGAGTTACAACTTATGGTTCGTAAGATGGATAAACAGGGAAGCAGCCATTTTAGACGGGTGACAGATACCAGGCCATTGCATCTCACCGCTTAGGATTGTAAATTGCCATGAAATATTCACAGGAGAGGGTCAACTGCTTACACCTTATTAACACCAACAGTTCTAAACTGTAGGATCAGGATATGTATTTATACATCCCGCCATTGTGTTATTGTGCTATGGTCGTTTTTTTGTATTCTTGTCTTTCATTTTTGCTTATATGCCTTGTCTATATGCCATTTTGTTTTTCTTTGTTGACGCAGTAGTTTGTTTTAAAGTGATTAGGATTATTACACAATGTTGATTGCTGTACCCTTATTTTTTACATTTTTACCTATTCTGTCTGGTTGTTCTGCTCACACATTGTTATGATGGTTCCCTTTTAGTTAATAATGTATTGTTACTGCTTCAAAAAACATTACATTTATTTTATAACTATATATTTCTTAAAGAAATACTGAGGAAAAAGTTTTCTTTTATAGCCCAATATACGAAATAAGGAAAAAAAGCCGAAAAAAGCTCCCCGAAACACTGAGTATGGCTTGCTCTCCCTACTAATATTCATAAAGGGACGTTTTATATCCAGTGCTTTATTGTTCTGTTAAAACCAGAATGAAAAGGGAATACGATCTAGCTTACCACACATCAGAGATGTTCAGCCCTAGATTAACAAAAGAGATCATGAGAGACATGGCTTTCCAACATTTAAGGTGGTGATCTTTCAGGTTCAATGCTTGGTAAGTTGACAAAGAGTTACAACTCATGGTTCGTGTGATGGATAAACACAGAATCAGCAATTTCAGACGGGTGAAAGAGTCTGATTTTAAGGCAATATTCCCTCAAATATGTTTTTTGAGACTCAATCCAATTCAATGAAATAGCAAGAAATTTAAAAATGAAAGGAGTAAATACAAGGTCAAAGATGCATGTACAGCTTCCCTAAATAGGAGTAATACCACCATTGTTTTTTCCCATGTTAGTCTTAGTCAAATTGGCTCTTTTCAAAAAATTGTGCAGAATTTATCTTCGTTTCAAATACAGAAATACTAGGCATGAGTAAAGTTTTATCTTGTCCACGTACTACAGACAAAATTTCACATAGCATGTCATTTCATATTAGATAATAACCTCACTGGAAGTTAACCAATACAATTGTCACCTTTTTTCTTGTTTACAAGCTTTAGTAACCATGTAACCACAAGTTTCTAAAATAAAACAAATGGTGCTTTGAAACACCCAAGAAATATGTTTATGACTCAGATTTTTCGTTTCTGCAATCAAATACAAGGTTTACTTCCTACAACTGTCAAATTCAAGGTAATGTTTGTTTTGACCCTTTTTTGTATGAAACCGGATGTGACATACTATGATTGGGTGGTATTACATTTAATACAAGTGAAAGGTTTAGCTAGCTATAAAACCAGGTTTAGTCCACCATTTTCTACAAAAGGAAATGCCTGTACAAAGTCAAAATATGACAGTTGTTTTCCACTGGTTTGGTGTTTTTGAGCTTTTCATTTTGCAATTTGATAATTGACTTTCCGTTTTTGTTTGGAGTTCGGTATTTTTGTTAATTTACTTTCTGCTGAAATACATAAACCATAAGAGATATAACCTCGTAGCAGCAAATATTTAGACGGAAGATATTCCCCCTAATATGGAACTCACTCTTCTTTGTTATTATGTTCCTAGTTGGTTAGGATGATAAAAGGCTTGTTATTTGTGGGATGGTGAAGATTGTTTGAGTTTGTGGTGTGACTTTGTAGTTGGTTTTTGACTTAATGCGACATTTATCTCCATTTTTGCCTTGCCTCATTTGGATACTTGTCATGGGCCGAGTTGTAAATTTGATGTATATACCATGTTTAAGGTAATTTAGGATGAAGTTAATCTAATATGTTTAGATCCAATGCTCAGATATAATGGTTAGATTTACACATTACTGTAGATTTCTTATATTTTCTGGTTTAGATTATTCGTGTGTCGGTTATTTGCTATATGTTTAACGGACTTAGGCTCCGAATCAGAGCGTTTTCAGTTGTTATGACTTTGTCGGAACTATACAGATCCTACTTTTTAAGATAGATTGGATGTATCTCTCCCTTAGTTAAGGGATTATCCCAATCAGGAGCAGATACTGTAACGATTTCGCCCCTTAAACCGAGCGGATATGATTAATTAGAAAAAGAGGCTTGACCGAACTTAGTTTGCATGGATCCTTTGAGTAGGTATAAGGTTGAAATAAAAACTAAGTCTTTAAGTTATTACTTTCAGATGTACTTTATGAAGCATCTTTAAAATCAAATATTTACAACTTATTGACAAACTATACATCTATATCTATATACAACATGTCGTAATCATCCAATTTATAGGTCAGGAAGGTTGACTAAAATTACAAGAAGGTTGATTGCTTCTAAATGTTGAACTTCTCAACCTTCCGTTACCGATTTTATAAAATTCTTATACGGGTTGATTGAATAAAATAATCATTTATTATACATGTTATATTTCTTTTCACTGAAATTAAAGTAGATTTCAAGAAAGCCTCTCTCATAATATTATAACAATAAAAGGTTGAATAAGCGAAACGACGGTTGACTGGGAATTTCCCGTAGGTTGAAGGTTGACTTATGCAAAACAAACAGAAGCCATGTGAAATCCTTAACATTAGAAGGTTTAGTTTTTCTTAAAACATATTCAAACTGCGTACATGTACCAGACTTAGAGTAGACTTCGGTTCGGCCATTGGAACAAAGGTTGACTAGAATTTTGTTTGCGTGCTCAAGAATTCATTTGACTGCTCTTGCAGACGTCAGAATAAATCTAAAGTTGTTTTGTAAACCTTCTATGTATACATTTTTTGGTCAGTATATCAACCAATCAGAACGTTTGTGATGTAAACAAGCAATCTCGTGTAATAAACCGCCAATACACAACTAATATGGCTACTCGAGTAAATAGGCTATTTCACTGTTTGGATTAAGATGATTACGGCTAAAACTCAAATTATAATATTAAGAAAATGAATGAATTAATAGGGTATACATATTCCCACATCATTTATCATTAACATAACTGCAACCAACCGTATATAGTCTGAATGAGGTGAAATTCCATCGTAAAAACAGCGATGTGAAAGCGTAAACAAAACAGCTTATTCATAAAATAACGGAAAACTGTGGTTTTAAGCACGAGATTTATTAACTGAACCATACGATTACTAAATTGTAACAATATACGGCAACCGACACATGTGGGCCTCTTGGCAGCTGAAGCTGAGTCTGCGCACGCATACAGCGCCCTCTTGTGAATGGTAATCTACAGCGATAAACATAGATGCTACGTCCAAAGATATTAAGGTATTGTGATTGTATAGAGCCCTTACACACACTAGTAAAGGTCGGGTCCTCTCAGGGGACAATTGTCTTACCACGAGACATAAATTGCCTAAGTATATAAAACGTTTTAACCCCAAATAAAACTTCAATAATGCCGATCACTATGTAGTGTGTGTCGTCATTTAATAAACAGTAAAATAATGACGGAGGCTCATAAAGGTTACGCAATTACTAACATATCTAATTGAACTTCGCCCTATTCTTACACAAGATTATTATATGATGACAGAAAGCATCATCATAAAGTATTGCGTACACGAGAAAACTACATTTATGGTTGTCAAAATAATAACAAATTCACTAACACACAAACAGAGCATATAAATGAAACTTACCTGATTGCAAAATTATGTCTAACATTAAAAAAATATCCGTAAATGAAGAGAATGCACTAATGTAAAGTACATGAATTATACAGAAACGTGTATTGATAGTATATCTTTATTCTATGGTTAAATGTTCTAGAAAATTAATTAGGTCACACTAAGGATAGAGTACTACGTAATGTTAATACAATTTATGTTTCAAGCAGGATATATAATATGAAATGTCCGCTTTAGTTTATTTTTGGCTCATCAATATATACAGACGAATCGAGAATCTGTTTCCCTAATTGTGTTTAGAAATTGTTAAAACTAATCTTGATGACTTGAACTAGGTATAATAATCGATCTCACTAATAATAGAAACATGACATTATGTGCATCGTAATCTTAATGAGGAACAATTAAAAACGTGATTATCTGATAATAATGTAATTAATCAAGTATGAGAACCTTAGCTATTCATCATTAATAAAAATGTATATAAAACTTTTGCTTAAATACTCCTTAACTTTTGGTTAAACAATGTCAATATATTGTACAATATAATACATATAGGCGATTTTTTTTTTTAAATGTATTGATTTAAAACTTTTTCAAATATTTGATCTTTCTTTAAGTTTTAACTTAAATATTTGACATAAATGTATGTTTTTAACCTACAAAATTTACTGTTTACACATGTGTAACTGGTCTGACAGCAGGGATGGGGTATTCGTAATATTTAATCGTAATCGGTTGTAATTGATTACATTTGTTCAAATAATCGTTAGTAATCAGAAATCGAAAACATGTTCAACTACATGTATTCGTAGTTTAATTGATTACAGCAAAAACATATGATTTAATCATCGATTACTTCAGTAAAATATAACTTAGTTTAAATGAAAATAGACAACTGCATATATTCATCAGCTATAGTCATAATAGTAGATTACATAGAATGTATTATTATGACTTGGGTTTATATAATGCCTTATACAGATCTATGTCTCAAGCTGCATTTGGATCAAATAGATCTACCATATTTTACTGTATTGCCAGCTTTTGAAACAAATGACCTTCAATGCTTGTCAATAATTTTAGACCTTTTTATATCAAATAAATGAAAAGATCTAAAGTAAATAAGAAAAAAGTCCTTATTTAAGTTCAGCACTACATTAAAGTAGTAATCAAATTTGCATTAAAATTCCTTAAAGGTAATTTTCAATAGAGTTGGAGTTTAGCTTAGAATAGATAAACTGTTGATTTGTCATAGTGTTTTGATATACATATTAAGAAAACGTACAAATTCCTTTTGACAATGAACAAATCCATTGAAATTTTCTTGTTCAGTAACAGAAACATGTATCCCATTTTGACATTGAAAATATATATTGTTTATAATGTTTAATAGAGACTAAGAAATTCTCAACAACCTTTTTTTCTATACCAATCAGATGATCAAAACTTCTAAACAATGAGATGCAGACTTTGTTATGGTTTCAATTATGTCTAATTATTTGAGAGATTTATATTATATTGTTTAAGGTAATACATTGTACTTCACTGACAATTTTGTAATCTGTAATTAAAGAGGTTATCCATACAAAAGGATGCATTCATGCATGTAGTTATAAATTATAAATTTCTATCTTTCAAATTAGCTGAACTTATTATTCTACTTTTTCATACTTATTTTAGAGGAAACTTTTAGCATAAAAAAAATAAACTTAAATCAATAAAACAGCAAAAATTAGCAAAATATGGAGAAAATGACCTAAAATATAAAGAAGTAATTGATGCAATCGTCAATGTCACGGCAAGAATTTTATCACCACTCACTCATGTTGAAAACCAAAATTTCCCAAATTTTCTAAATACTTCAGATCCTCTGTAAAAGCTTCATCCTAGAAAACAACTGTCACAACAACATTTTAAACTATGCTTTAAATGCTGTTTGTGTTAAGGTCTAAATTTCCACAGTGAATACTTGAGCATCATAATTGTGTTTAATTTTCTTTCTTTTTTTTATATTTTTTTAGCATATAATAATTTCTTATAATAAAGTTATCGATTGCTATCGATTACATAGAAAAATCAGAGTAATTGAATATTAATCTATTACACAAAAATTGTTCAAGTAATCGATTAATCAGTTATCGTGTCTATCCCTGTCTAACAGCACCTGGATTTGTAAACGTATTTGTGTTTCAGATAAAAAAAAAATAAATTCTGGGATACATTTGTTGTCATCACTTTTTGTTGTGAGATATCTGGTGTCAGTCATCAGTTAAATGCAATGTAATTGTAACCTTTGGGGGACATCAAAAACAATTTTAACCAAATTATTCAATTATTTTCAGCTCCTACTCAGCTTTCATTAGATGTTTCTGAAACTTTGTACTTTTATTATGATTGATCTTGCTTGCTTACTACCTAGTTGAATTTGTTTCAAGCATACATTTAGGACAATAACTAATTAAAAAGAAAACAAGACAATAGGGACCTTCTGCAAGGTAGAGAGACCGGATTCAGGACCGGGAATAGGACTACCACTAGAAAATAAGGTTAGGATGGATATGGAAAATTGTTTTGCCTTGGAATTGGTCACAGCTGTACCCCACAGAGTGTTGTTGCAATATCTTAATAGGAAGTTGAAAATGTGCCTCATTTATTTATTTTTGGAAATCTTTCCAATATAGACACCGATCACTTTTTTCTTCCTGACATAGGATTTTGATATCGGACTACTGGACTTAAGTAAGATATCCATTACATGTAATTACTGTTAAAATATATATTAACAATAGATATTTGAGGCTAACAAAAGGTGAAGCGGGATATAGTTGCCGAACTGCTAGTTTTCAAAAGATATTTACTGAATTAGATATTATGATTTTTCTTTGCTAACAATACGTCTATTGCCTATTACAACATCAATCTGCAGACATTTTGTACACGAGTTATTTACTATGATTGAAATAACTAATTAGTAGAGGTGAAAGGTACATAGTATTGCATATATGTTCCTTTCACCTCTTTTATATAAGGGGATACCTTTATACACGTAATCGTCTTTCGCATCGGGCAGCTAGGGTGTAAAAATACGGATGCCTGTTTAAAAATCAAAATTATCAATAAATAACACAAAATGAGACATAATGTCTGTCAAATGTCCTTTATTAAAATTTTGCTCTATTATTGCAAATCATTAAACTAACTAGTTATTGGCATTTGTCATCAAATTGTCATGAAATCATATAATGGTATTATATTGATTTTACTTTAAAGCCTTTATTGTACACGTGTTATTGTTTCCATTGCTTTCTCAAAAACTATATCAGTTACAAAAATATAATTTCCAGACTATTATAACGATTTTACCGAGGTATTAATAATATCTTACGAGTTGTTCGTCAATTTAAAACGTGTCTCATATTGCTTCCAAATTTTATCAAATTATAAGCTTGGTATCTTTGATGTGTTTTTACACATTCAGTGCAGTTATAGGAAATAGAAAAGATTTAGAATTTATCGACAATATTTTTTTTTTACTGCAAAGAAAAAATACTGAAAAAATTTTTAAAAATGAATTTTATGAAAAATTATAGGTACCGTTGAGTTGTTCAACACCCACTTAAAGTAGCAATACATCAGACAATATGTTTCTGACTGTTAAGTTTAAATATCTTCGAAAAATTACAAATTTCCTCTCAATAATAATATCAGAATTTATTTACGATTATAAGGTCCTTCAACTTTCCAGTTAAAGACCTTTTGAGTTTTTTCTGATTATAATTTTTTTCCTCCACCAAGTTTATTTGTTTGCGCTGTTTTATTTAACAAGATGTCACTTAAATATTTAGTAAATGACTTAAAACATGTTAAAATAGTTTATTCGGTTTGAAACTGACACTGTTTTATCAAATACTTATCTTCGTATAAGTTGTCTCCCCGAACACTGTCTTTCTTGTGATCACTTTTATTTTAAAGATATCTACACAATTTTTTTTCCAAATTACTCGATACATCCTAATGTTAATAATTTTACGGATGTTATCCGGAGACTTAATATAAGAGTTATTTCCCTTCTATGTATTTAACAATTTAGTGAAATGTAATTGTAATGCGTAAACCGTGAGAGTTAGAGAACTGGAGTGTTTTGATTTCTGGTCTGAGTACATCAAAAAGAAAATGAAATAAAGGTCAAATTCATTTTTGTTTGTTATTGTTACTACTCAGCAACCGTAATGAATACTCACAAAAATGTTACTCAATTGTTAGTTGCGTTATGTCGTAATTGAAAAACATTTGTTCGAAAGGTTACGGTTTCATTATAAAGGAATTTTTTTTATCTAAGAAGTCTGAAATAGACCACGAGGTGCCAAAAATGCATCGCTGAAAACATAACCTTTACTTCCATTAGCATGGTCAAACAATAAAGTTTGAAAAATAAATACTTCAAATTATTTTTTCCGATGTGTAAGTAGACATAAAATCTTATGAATCAATTTATGCTTATGTTTATTTATGTTATGTATAATGTTGAAATGTATAATACTAACATTTATAAATCTGTTATTAAATATGCTCCCTGAATACCTAATGGAAACGTAGCCCAATGATATAAGCTAGGTAAATTGTTTAACAGCATAT